CAGTGCCAGAACACCTCATACAGCCAGTGCCAAAACACCTCACACCCAGTGCCAAAACACCACAGAGTCAGTGCCAGAACACCTCATACAGCCAGTGCCAAAACACCACACAGCAGCACAATCCCCCCAAAATCAGCCCCCTTGGAAAACAACAGGAGCCTGGAGGCAGGGGCTTGGCTGCCGACACCCGGGACGGGGCTGTTCCACAAAAGGGTTGGAAAAATTGGAATTATTGCCCGTGTGAATCGATGGAACTGTGTCACCGTCTCCCGCTGCGCCGGGCTGGGCAGGGAAGGGGCGGCCCTGGCTGTTCTGCACTGCACTGTTGTTGTTGTTGTTGTTGTTATTATCATATTTTAATTTAAGTTATTAATTGTTATTACTATTTTGTCATACATTTCCAAGCCAAAACCATCCCAGCCCCAGCAGCTGCACCAACCCCGGCACACGGCACAGCCTGTCCTGCTCTGCCCGCCCGGATCTCCCCAAGCACAGCGGAGGAAAACCGGGAACATCCCTCCCCATGGCCAGAGATCTGCACGGGGAGGTGATGGACAAGACATTCCGGGCTGCTGTTCCACAGGGAGAATCCCCAGTGGGTCCCCATCCCGCTGGGATTGGGGAGTGGTGGGTGCAGGGGCCGTGTGGGACCCACCGGCTCGGACAAGGCCTGACCCCCACGGCACCCACCACGTCCCACCCCGCTCACCCACCCCACTGTGGGTGCTGCCCGAGGACCTCGGCTCCCCACCGGCACCCTCCTGCTCTTTGCTCTTCCCAGCTTTCACAGGATCATGGAATGGTTTGGGCTGGAAGGGCCCATAAACCCCACACGTTCCACCGGCCCAGGCGGATCCGAACCCCACACGTTCCACCGGCCCAGGCGGATCCGAGCCCCCTCCAGCCCAGCCTGGACCCTTTGCCGGACCCTCCGGGGTGGTGCTGCCTGTGGGGGGGTCCCTACAGACCCCCCATCACCCCTAAACCAGCCAATCCTGGAACTCGGGACAAAGGGGTGGGGGAGAACCGTCCCCCCGGAGCAGCGCAGCGTCCCCACATCCCTCCCCAAAACTCCGATCCCCCCGGCGGGGTTGGGGACCACGGCCACCGGGGGAGCCCCCGAGCCTCACCTGGGTCTCGGAGAGGTTGAGCTGCCGCGCTAACTCCGTCCTCTCCCTGCCCACCACGTACTGGCAGCGCTGGAACTCCAGCTCCAGGCGGTAGAGCTGCTCCGCCGTGAAGGACGTGCGGGTCCGCTTGGGCCGGTCCAGGTCCAGCCCCTTGGGCAGCACGATCTCCCGGATCGTCCCTTTGGCATCTGCGGGGGATGGGGGAGAGCGGGAAAAACCGTCAGGAAAAAAACCTCCGGGGACTGGTGGAACCGGTCCCAAAAGCCCAGTTGTCAGGGCAGGAAAAATTAATTAAATTGAATTAAAGACCAGCCCTGCATCACCTCCCTGGTGCCGCCCCGAGTGCCGGGGCTGGATGCAGAATATCCATGAAAATCCCACAAGCCGGAGCTAAACGGGCACCATCCCATAGTTTGGTTCTCCCCTCTGGCACCAGGCGCCGTGAGTTTATAAATATCCAGGGAGCGGCAACAAATCTCCATAAATTATGGGAGTTTTTTTAAGACATAAATAGAAACCATAAAGTTTTTCGGGAAAACAGAACGTTTCATTCCGGAAACAACAGTTGGGAAAACCAGGAGCGAAAAGCGGATTTATACCAAGGAAGAATTAGAATGAAAGGTTTGTTTCATTAAAAATATATTTTGGGTTTTTTTTTGTCCTTTCTCTGGAATAATGGAAAAATTTACCCCTATTACAATTCCCTTCTCTCTGGAATTATTCTCGCTGAAGGAATATTTCCCGGGAAAGCAGCAGCTCCCATTTTGGGGCAGTTTTACAGTTAAAGGACCGGTTTGGGAAGTGCTGCGGCCCTGACCTGTTCCAGCAGCGAATTTTTCGGGGTTGGGAAGGGTTGAGACTATCCAGGGAAACAAAAGCCGGAGGGTTTAACTCCCACGGTGGCTCTGTCCACGCCGTGGGACGTGGTTCGTGGCCACCCCGAAGGAGCCGCCGTGGTTTCGCTTCCCTCTGGCAAAGGACCAGCTCTCCCAAAAAACCCCCGGAGCCCCCCGTGCCAGGAGCCTGTCCCAGCTCTCTGTGCTGTGCTGTGGCACTGCTGGTGCTCCCAACGTGGCACCAGGAATTAAAAGGAGCCTTGGAAATCACCCGCCGGGCCCTGCCAGACCCCAAACCCCCCGTGCTCCTCGTGCTGACCCGACTCCAGCTCCAGCAACACCAGCAGCAAACTGGTTTGGGTGAGCCCTGGCCTCAGAGCTCCCCGTTCCTGCCCCGGGGCTTTTCCAGAGGGTTAAAAACCACTGCAGGGAAGCGGCCCCGTGCCAGGCCCTGATTTTGGGGTGCGGGTTCCCAAGGCCGGGGGGTCCCCAGCAGCCCTGGCTGGAGGGTACCGGCTTCCCCTCCCTCCAGCTGACTCAGACGGGAAGGGATTAGAAAAGTGCTGGGGTAGGGAGGGGGAAAATAGCCAGGAGAAGCCTGGGAAGGGGTGACGGAGATGGGATGGGCACGGCAGAGCTCGGGTGGGGACGGTGGAGCTGGAATGGGGATGGCACAACTGGGATGGAGATGGAAGAGATGGGGTGGGGATGGAAGAGATGGGGTGGGAATGGTGGAGCTGGGAAGGGGTTATGGAGCTGGGATGGGGACGGCACAGCTCGGATGGGGATGGTGGAGCTGGAGTGGGGATGGCAGAGCTGGGATAGGGATGGCAGAGCTGGGATAGGGATGGAAGAGATGGGGTGGGGATGGAAGAGATGGGGTGGGGATGGAAGAGATGGGGTGGGAATGGTGGAGCTGGAATGGGAACGGCGGAGCTGGGATGGAAATGGTGGAGCTGGGATAGGGACGGCAGAGCTGGGATGAGGATGGAAGAGTTGGGATGGAAGAGCTGGGATGGGGATGGAAGAGCTGGGATGAGGATGGAAGAGCTGGGATGGAAATGGTGGAGCTGGAATGGGGATAGTGGAACCAGCACAAGGTCAGCAGAGTTGGAATGGGGGCAAAGGAACCAGTGGGGGGGTGATGGATCTGGTATGGGGATGGTGGGAGTGGGGAGCAGGCACAGATTTGGGAGGTCTGGGAGAAGGACCCTGCTCCCGAAGCCGGTTTCCCAGCACATGGCAGAGGTGCCATCCCGGCAGGGCCGCGCTGGCTCCGGGCACCACCGAAGGAGTCACGGGGGCCTGGGGACAACCAGGGTGGGAGAGGGTCTGGTGGGACCAGATCCACACCCCACAGCCCACGGGTGGGCACGGGGCCGCGGGAAAGGAAAGGGGTTGTGGGCGGATCGGCGGCTTTTCCGGTGGGATCGGGACGCCAACCCAGCCCGGGAACCATTTTGTGAGGGGAGAGCGGCGGCAGAGACGATGCCCAGACCACGTCCGCACCCCCGTGCCCATGCCCGTGCCCACGCCACGGCCACGGCACAACAACAGCCGGGGCTGGTGGCTCGGAGCCGCAGCTGCAGCTCTGCCCTCCGCCCTCGCCGCGCCGGCATCGCTCGGGCATTATTTATTGTTATCCCCCCGGCAGCTGGGCCGCGGGTGGGGGAGCAGCACCGGGGGGAAGGGAGGGAAGGGGCACAGCCCACGGTGCCAGCTCGGCAGAGGAGAGGCAAACCCCTTGTCCCCAAAACCCTCGTCCCCAAAACCCTCACCCCCAAAACCTGCCGGGCACCGCAGACCTTCCCCGCTGCGGGTTTTGGGGGTCCACAGCCATCCCCCCGTGCCAGGAAGGGCACAGCACCACCCTGCCTGCGGGATCCCCTCTGCAGAGCCTTCCCCCATCAGCTGCCGGATCCTGGGCCCCCAACACCCACCAGGTCCTGCTGTGGCTGCCCGGGGGGTTCACGGGGTCCCCCACCTCACCAGCGGGGCCCTGGTGGCACATCCCGCTCTTAGGGACCGGGATACACCTGATGGCAGCGGATCCGGGACAAGGCCTGGGTCTGAAATCCCCCAAAAGAGCCCAGGACACCCGTGTGCACAGGGCACACCTCTGCCTGGCACAGGGACACCCCACACACATCCACAGGGGCACTTCTGCCTGGCACAGGGCCATGCCACACACCCCCACATCCACAGGGACACCTCTCTCTGGCACAGGGACACCTTTCCTTGGCACAGGGACATCCCACACGCCCCGCTGGGCATGAGGGTTTCTGCATCAGCGCAGTTGCCAGGACATTTTGGGGCTCCCACTCGCCCTGTCAGCTCCCCAACACGTCTCCCCAGTCCCTCTCCGTGCCATGGGGTGGCCCTGGTGGCACCTTGGACACGCTGAGTGGCACAGAAACCTGCAGCCCTTCTCAGTGCACCCCAAACACCACCGGGGTCCCCCCATGTGCTCTGCGACCCCCGAGCCCAGCACCGGGGCAGCCCCGGGAGGAAGGGGGGGGAGCAGCCCTGGATGTGCCCCCCACCCTGCCCAGCCGCCCCCGGGACTGCAGCGGCCGCGCCGGCAGCGGGACCGGCCCCGGTGCTGCCCGGCTCCCTCCGCCGCCGAGCCCTTCTCCCGGTTATCCCCGGGAAACACGACCCGCAGGCGGCCGGGAGCCACCGGCCCGACGAGACGGGGACGGCCGGGGGGCGAAGCGGCCCCGTCCCGCACGGCCGGTCCCCGGTACCGAGCGGACCGAGACCCCGAGAGAGCCCCGCCGGAGTGGGGGGCTGCCCAGGACCCCCCTCCTCACCGAAGGCACCGCGGGCGAACCCCGGGGCTGGAGCGGGGTCGCGGCAGCCGCCCCGCACCGGGGCCGGGGCTGGCGGGGACGATGCGGCCCCGTCCCCGGGGCTGGCGGCGACGGCGGAATTAAAAATGTTGAAGACTATATTTTAAAAATATAAAAATAAACATTTTAACCTCCCACTTCGCATAAAACCGACCTGGAGCTCTGCCCGGGCCTGGCCGGCGATCGGCCCCGACCCTGCCCGGCTGCGGGACCCCGGCCGGGGGAGACGGGGACCGACGGGCCCGTGGCCCCGCACACCCGCTGTCCCCGCCGCGTCCCCCCCGCTTCATTTCGGCTCCGTTCCCGGTTATTTGCGGCGATTCTCCCCGCCACCATTTTGTCCGCACCGTGGCGGCTGCGGCAAGATGGTGAGACCGGGAGCTCCCGGGTGAGGGTCCCCGGGGCCGGGGGCAGCGGGGACCCTGCCCCGGGTCTGGGCACCGACCCCCGCCCCGCTCCCATCCCGGGGACCGTCGGGAGGGCCTCGGTAGGACTGAAACCGGCGGAGGAGAGGCCTGACCCCGGCCTGACCCCGGCGGGAACGGCGGCGGCCCCGCTCGGCGACCCCCGGGACGGGGGGGATACCCCGGGCGGGACCCCCGGGCTCGGCCCCGAGCGCTGCCCGCTGCCCCGCCGCGGTGCCCGGGGAGGGCTCGGAGGGCTCGGGACTGCGGCAGGCGGGCTGTCAGCGAAAGGCGCCCATCGCCACAGCCGGGAAGAGGCTCCGGGGAGCGGCGGGGCCGTTTGCCGGGATGCCCGGCCCGGGATGGCGATCGAACGGGAGGACTCGGCTCCGGTACCCGCCGCCCCCGGGGAGGTGAGGAGGGAATTCACGGCCGCGGCTCCGGTCCCCGCCGCCCTGCCCGAGCGCTGGGCTGGGGACCGGGAGGCCTCAGCCTTGATCGCCGGGCGGCCGCCGAGCAGCTCCGGGCTCCGGGAGCGGGGGAGACGCTGAGCATCCCCGGAGCCGCGGGAGCCCCGAGCCGAGGAGCGCTCGGTCCCTGCCCGCCTGCCGCAGCCGCACCGAGGCGCCCCAAACTTCTCGGGGTTCGCCACAAGCCAAACTGGCCCCGGCGAGCCCCGGGCCGGCGGGGACTGAGCGCGGGCGGCGGGGCGGGATCCGGGATGCGGGACGCGGCGTCCCCGGGTCCCGCCGTGCCCCAGCCCCGGTCGAGCCGGGCATATTATAAAGGGGGGAAAAAAAAAAAATACCCCCCCCCTCGCCCGCCGCCGCTCCGTGACGCTTTTCTCCTGCGACATCGCTTCAAACGCGATGCTGTCCCCCCTCTCCCGCCGCCCGCGCGTCCCCGCGGGGCTCAGCCGGCCCGGGGGTCCGTGACCCCGCGCCCGTTCCCCCGGACCCCGCCGGGCACGCACGGCCCCGCTCGGAGCCCGGGGGGGCTGGGGCAGCGGGCCCGGTCCGTGCCGCACGGAGCGGAGCCACGGGAAGCGGCGGGGCCGAGAGATCGGAGCACGGAGCCGGGCAGCGCCCGGGATGCGCTGGAAGCGGCGCCGGGGATTCCCCATCCTCGGAGCGGGAACTCCCGGAGGGGGAAGCGGGGAGCGGGAGCCGGGAGCGGGGACCCTGCCCGTACCTCGCACCAGGATGCGGCGGCAGTAATCCGCCTCGCCGGTCCCCGACGGGCTCTCGGTGTCCGGGGCGCACTCCTTGGAGGAGCCGGGGCTGACCGCCGACGTTCCGGGGATGTCCTTGAAGCCGCCGCCGCCGCCTCCGCCGCCGCCGCCGCGCAGGGCGCTCTCCAGCTCCGCCCGGGTCGGCGCCTTCTCCCGGGCCCGCCCGGTGGCCGCGGGCTCGGCCAGCAGCACGGGGCTCCCGCCGGGCTCGGCCCCTCCATCGCTCATCCCTGCGGGCGCCGCGGCGGGATCAAACATCAGGAGGGAGAGAGAGAGACGGGGAGAGGGAGACGGGAGGCAAGACTAGGCGGGGGGGATGGGAGGGAGCCCCCCCTCCCTCCCCAGACCCCTTCCCCTCCCCGCCCCTCCCCGGCCCCCCCGGGGCTCGGCGCCCCAGCTCACCCCCATGGCCGGGGACCGCCGGGGGCCGTCACCTCCCGCCTCTCGCCCGCTCCCACCCGGGGGGACGGCATTTAAAGCGCGCCCCCCTCCCCGCTCCACCGGCCGGGGGTGGTACCGGGGTGGGGGGGGTGGGGGGGGGACCCATCGGGGCGTCCCGAGAGGGTGCGAGGGGGGGAAAAAAGGAGTTTAAAACTTTGACAGGCGGCTGAGCCCCCCCCCCGCGCCCCCTCCCCAGCTCCACCTCCCGCGGCACCTCGCTCCGGGCAAACTTCAGCCGCTCCGGCCGCAGCCGCTGCCCTTCCATGGGGCGCCGGTTCCCGCTGCGGGTCCCGGTCCCGGTCCCGGCGGGAGCGGGCGACGGAGCCGCCGGTGCCCGGGCTCGGCGCGCTGCGCTGGGATTCGCGTGCGGGGAAATCAATACCCGGAGATGGGGGGATGATTTTAGGGGGAGTGGGGGGCGGGAGGGGAAGGGGAGGCCGAGGGGAGGGAGCTGCGGAGGAAGCGGCCGGGGGTGGGACCGGGGAAGAAGCCGGGTCCTTATTCCTCCGGCCCGGCCCTCCCCCGCCGCCGCGCTCGGCTGCGCATCCCCGGCCGCCGCCGGAGCCGGGAGCGGGGAGCGGGCGGCGGAGCCCCCGCCGCGCCGGGGAGCGGCCGGGGGGAGGAAAAGGGCCGCTTTTAAATTAACGGCCCGGTACAGACGCAATTTCCTGCTCTCCCGTGCCGTGACACCGATTGGTAAACAAAGAACCCCGGCCCCGGCTCCGGCCCCGGCAGCGGCGGCGGCCGCGGCTCCCGCGGCGGGGGTGCCGCCTTCCCGCGGGGCTCACCCACGGGGACCCCCCCGGGCCGGGGAAGGGCCAGCCGAGGTGTAAACGAATAAAAAACACCCCCCTTCGCTCTGCCCCTCCCCGGGCCGGGCGGGGGCTCGGGGGGCTCCGTTTCCTCTTCCCCACGGTGCCCCGCAGCCCGGTGCTCCAAGGAGTGCCCGCTGCTACCGCAGTTACGCCACCGCCTCCCCGGGATGGGGCTGCGGGGGAGCCCCGAAATCCCCGTTAAGCGGCACGGCCGCTCCCGGCAGCGGCGGCGACACCGGCCCCGGGACCGAGGGAGGCGGCTCCCGGTGTCCAGCTGGGGCTGACGGACTCCGGGGGGTGTCCCGGGCAGTCCCTCGCCTCGGGGGGGTCCGTTCCGCCTCTCTCTGCAACGGGGCAAAACCCGGCGGAAAAGCGACACGTTCCCGAAGCGGGCGGGGGCGGCCGCCCCCTTCCCCGTTACCCCCCCCCGGCCCCCCCCACAGAAACCGCGCTGCAATACTGGCGGATTAAAAAGCAATAAATTAACTGTTAACCCAAGCGCAACTGAGAATTCGCATCCCCCCCCCGACACCTGCCCGCACCCCGCCGCTCCCGCAGCCCGGCACCGGGCACCGCCCGGGGTGGGGGTCCCGCCGGGGTCTGAGCCCGGCCCCGTGCACCGGGAAGGAGCCCGGCCGAGGCGGGAAGCGCCCGGGACTTCAAGGCCTTGGGCTGGCGTGGTACCCGAGTGCCTGTGTCTGCACGGCCTGTGCCCGTCCCCGGAATGGTCGAACCAGCGCGGAGCGGGGAAAAACAGATTAGGGGCAAAAATAAAACAAAAGAGAAAAATAAAGTCACAGGAATAAAGGAAGTAAAAGGAAAGGAATGGAATAAAAGGGAGAAAAAAGGAAAGAAAATAAAGCAAACGAAAAAGGCCGAGCGGGGAGCGCACGGGGAACCGGGTCGCGGAGGACGGGCCCCGCCGAGGGCCGGTGGCCCCGGCCCGCACCCCCGGTTCTGCGGGGCCCGGAGGGATGAGAAGGGGGCGGTGGGACGGGGCCACCGGTTCGGGGTAGGTTCTGGCCGCCGTAGCTGGTTCCCCGCTCCCGGTTCCCCACACCCTGCTCCCCGTTCCCGCTCCCGGGCTGCGCTCTGCCCCGCCACCGGGCCCGGGGGTGGATGTGACACCGGCAAAGGGTTTTGAACGAAAACCAGGAAAAATAACCCAAACCCACCCCACCCTGCGGCCCCAACCCCCCCGGACCGTGCAGAGGCGATGCCCGGCGGTCACGCGTGGGGAGGCCTGCGGGCCGGTCCCGCCGGGAAGAGGGGCACAGCCGCCCACCGGGAGCTGCCGGAACGAAATATCCTCCCTCCGCCGAGCTCCGGCCCCGAGCGGCGGCTGAGGCCGCGGTACGACCGGGAGAGAAACGGCCCCGCCGCCCGCTCGGCCCCCGGTGCCCGCTCGGCCCCCGCCGCCTCCGCACGGATCCCGCTCCCTTCCTGCTATTTTCTCCCGTTATCCCTGCGATTAACGTTAACAACGACGGGAAGGGATTTGCTCCGGGGGAAGTGGAAGCAGGGAAAGGGAAACGCCGGGTGCGAGCCGTCTCCGCAGCCCCCGGGAAGGGGAGGTGAGGGGATCCGCGCTGCTCCGCGGGCTGAGAGCGGAGCTGGGTCCTCAGAGAAAAATAATGACACAAATAATAATAATAATATTTTTTTAAATTCTCTTTTTTATTGCATCATTATTGTTGTGGTTGGGTTTGTTTTGGTGGTGTTGTTACCGCTGTTGTAGCTGTAATTAGTATTGATATTAGTGGTATTAATGTCACTAGTAGTGTTACTATTATTTGTAGTATTACCGCTGGTATTAGTACGATTGGTATTAGTGCTATTGATATTAGTGCTATTGATATTAGTGCTATTAGTGCTATTTATTGGTATTATTATTATTATCGGTATCCCTGTTTTTTCTCGCTCCCGGGGCCGTGCCGAGCAGACCCAGCCCAGGGAAGCCCGGCCCGGGGTGGGAGCGGCCGTGCTCTCCCGGAGCATCCCCGTTCCCAGCGCTCCGGCCCCGCTGCCGGCCCTGCCGAGCCCCCGGATCCCTCTCCAGCCGCCGCCCCGCTCCATCCCCCCCTTCCCGCCGCTCCGGGGGCGGTCATGGAGCGAAAAAACCACAAAATTCCTTTATTTTCCTGGTTCGCAGCCTGATCCGCCGCCCGGAGCGCCCTGGGCCCGCACCCCGGTGCTCCCGATCCCGCCGGAGATGGAGGTAAGGCCAGGCCGGCGGGTGCCCGCCCGGCTCGGCTCGGCTCGCTGGGCTCGGCTCGGCCCCGGGCCCGGCTGCGGGGGGGTTCGGTGTCCGCCGGGAGCGGAGCCGGGGCTTCCCCAGACCCCGAACCGGTCGCCCCCGGTGAGTCCCGGCCCGCTGGGCTCACACCAAACGCGGCTCGGGGGGCACCGGGGGGCACCGGGGGGAACCCTCCTTCTCCTCCTGCTCCTTCCCTTCCCCGCGAAGGAACGGCTGCCCCGGGAGACCCCCGGCCCGG